TCCATCCATCCATCCATCCATCCATCCATCCATCCATCCATCCATCCAACTATTCATATATCCAGTGGATATTTACTGAAGGCCTACTAAGATCCAAACACTGTTCTTGCTAGTGAGGCTCAACGTTGATCAAGTGACCCGGTGGGCAGAGTGTGTGAGAGTATGACTCATCCCAGAGGCTTCCCCTCTTAATTTCCCTGGCTTCTCATTCTTTTCCATGGACTTGGGACAGGGAGGCAGTATCTGGGAGGCTGACAGAGTCTAGCAGCCCTGCATCTTGGGATGAGGAGAGCCAACCTTCAAAGGGTCTATGAGTGTCTTTCAGAAACACAGAGAGGCCGGCCAGCCAGCCAGCCAGACTTGATTTCCTGACCAACCTGTCTTTCCCCTTCATGGTTTGGCTACAAGGTCTGCTGGGAGCTGGTGGCACATCCAATGTGACTGAGGAAGCTGGGCCCAGGGGAGGCCTAAGATTCAATGAGCCACAGTGAGGGGGGAGGTCAGAGGTAGATGAGCACACTGGTGTTCAAGTTCATCTCTAACGGCTCCTAAAGAGATGGTCACACATGCATAGAGAGCTGCGAGCACCTGGAGGCGCTTCCATTGTCACTGTTAAGTGGGGACTTTGGGAGGCATTTAGTGGCTCCGAGGGAGCTCTGATGGCCGAGTCCTAGTGGTACTGCTAACCTAAATACCATGCCTCGCTGAAGGTTCAAATCCACCAGCAACTCGACAGGGTTGATGGGCAATCTCCTCCCATGCAATTTGTTCTTTGTTGTTATATGCCATCGAGTCACCTGCGACTCATAGTGCCCCTATGTATGGCCGCTCCCGAGCCAGTCTCACTGACTCCGACACACCTACCCCTTTTGCCCCAGTTACTGTGTCAATCCATCTCATCCAAAGTCTTCCTCTCCTGTGCCGTCCCTCCACCATTCCAAGCATGATGCCCTTCTCCAAGGACTGGTCTCTTCTGGCCTTGTGCCCAAAGTTATGTGAGGCAAAAAATCAAAATTTTAGTTAGCCTCCAAGGAATAACTTGGTTTCACCCTGTTCAAAACAGACCTATTTGTTTTCTTGGCAGTTCATAGCATGTTCGAGACTCTTCTCCAGCACCACAACTCAAAGGCATCGATTCTTCGTCTATCATTCTTAGTCATTGGCCAGCTGTCTGAAGCATAGCAAGTAATTGTGAAGACTCTGTGCAATGTACAGCCTCCAAAAACCCACTTGAAAGTAAGCTATGAGTTCGTTCCAATGCAATGACAACGACTGACTTTTTTTAGATGCTCATCAGATGGTGGACTCTGATAGATGGTGCTGTGTGCAGATGACAGGCCTGCGTCAAGCACGGGAAACAATAATGACCACATAGAACTGGAGAGCTTTTGGCTATAAGTAAATGTAACGCAGATGGACTTGAAGCAGAGTTTGCTGGCTCCAGTGCTGCTGTCACTGTGCTGGGCATACAGATACCAGAAACCCCAAACGTCCTTGGTCGGTCTCTTGCTTTCTTGTTCTTCAATCCCTTCCCCTGACCTTCCTTCTGTTCTCTCACAGGCTGGCGGTCTGTCTGTCTGTCTTGGCTGTTTCTCTCAGACTTCGGACAAGCTTTATCTCCAGTCTGGCCACAGCTCCAAACTCACATCGAATCACCCGTCACTTCAGAGGGAGCGTCAACCCTGCACCCTCCTGCATCAGGACCATTCTCAGGGGAAAAGCTTTGGTTTTTCCAGGTGAGAAAGCAGGTGAGGGGAGCTGCAGGGATCACAGCCCTTTCAGGAGTGAAGAGCCCCTTCAGGGCATGCAAACAGATGTCTGCTCTTGCTGTTTCTGCTGGAGTTTTGTCTTTCTAGTTTGTTTTTAAATTTTTTTTTTACTTTATTTCTAGTTCTTTTTTTAACTGTACAAATAATACTGTTGTTGTCATCGAGTTGGAACCAACCCCTAGCTGACCCGCCAGCAGGTTTTCAGAGGCAGTAAATCGCCCGGGAGGGAGACTGCCTGTCCTTCTCCCGTGGGGCAGTTGGTGGATTTGACCCGCGTGCCTTCAGCTTGGCAGTGCAGCTCCTTACCACCAGGCCACCAGAGCTCCCTCCAAATGCTACTAGACCACACTGATTGGCATGGAAAAGCATCTTCTCTCTCGAGCAGAGATTGCTTCTAGGAGGGCTTTCCATGAGGGGGCTCTGTTCTTGTCTTTGTGGGGTGCCATTGAGTCAGTGTGGAGTCATAGTGATGCCAAATACAATAGAGTAAAATTATACCCAA